ATCATACCATAGCTTCGTTGCGTCAGGTAGGTATGATGGGCCTGACGCCCCTGCAAAATTGTGACAAAAGATGAGAAGACCCTTGGATACAGGGTTGCCACACACACACACACACGCACACGAAACCAGAACTGCAAGCCTGGGCCGATAACATACCAACAAAATCACCAGTCGCAGCGAAGCAGGCCTCAATAGCTCAAGGGCCGGCAGCCATCGTGCACCCTCCTGACATTCATAGGTCAGTTGGTTGAGATCCGACAGCAGCTTTCCACGGTCCTATGCCCAGCTGAGTTACGAGTAGCTTTTTGGTCAACCTGAGTCTCATGGCCCTCCTTTGTCTTGAGAAAGATCCAAGCTGATGCGGAAATCTTCCAATCTACAGCTGAACCCTCAACCCTGTTTGCCAAAACTGCAGAAAATGCGCCCTGCCACGCCCAGACCTGGAAAGCGCAGGCAGCAGCACCGACGCTCCGCTCGTTCTGCATCAGGCTTTACCCAACTACATTGGTCTAGCCTATAACTAAGCAAGCCTCAGAGTATTCTACCGGGCAGCCCACGGGGCAACAGCACGCAAAAGAAGAGCAACACATGATTCTACCCACATCCGTGTCCCAACTGCGGCACAGCTGCGACTAAACACTCCGGGACCAATCACGACAAGCCGCTGGATGCATCGATTGAACTGACTAAAAAAGTAGCCCTCGCTGATGCATTGCTGTTTTCGGGACTTCACCGGCTTTGGAAGGAGGAGCTCCTTTATATCTGACTCGCGGAGGGACCAATCTTGAAGGCTCGACCTCCATTTTCATAAGGTAGAAATCTTCACAAACAGTCAACTCGAGGTTGGGCACATGTTGGGATCACTTGTTTCTGCAGAAAATTGAAACCTGGGGCCCCACACCACGAAGCCCCTGCCGGTAACATCTGAACTCGCAATAGCTAAAACATCCCTTCGGCAAGGCTTCTGTGTGAAATAGCAGTGCCTCCCTTGCCAGCGAAGAGCTAGACCTTAGTGCAGAATGCTGCGATAAGAAGAATATCTATCTTTCAGACAATCTTCGTGTTCCACGCAGCTTCCAGCTGCAAGGCAAGACCTTACGCAGGCATAACTACCATGCCATTCTTTGTGCTACGGGCAAAGCGGCAGCACCGATGATCACAAACAAAGATATAAGCTCGTAAGCCAACTGTACGCAGTAAACAAACATATCGCAAAATCTGTCTACTAGCTACTAGTACCAGGACCGTGACAAGGAGTTGCATGTTAAGTGGATTGGCAAAACTTGTTTAGGAGCGTCGTGTACTCGAACCCGTGCCACCCACTATCTTCGGACCAAGGAGCCAAACACGCATGGCAGTACGCCATTCGCTCGCGTCTGCTGCTGCACTGACTGCCTCATAAGACGGGTCCTAACTAACAAGGACTCAGCCGCCCCTTTAAGGCAGAGCCTTCGATCGCACGAACCTATGGGACCATCTCGTCCAAGTGGCCGCCGTGTGAAGCTGCGCGTTCAGCGGTGTGGCGGCAGCTCTGCATCCTGACCAGTGCGGACTCGAACCAGCGAACTGAAAGCCTCGAGAACAAAATTCCGAAGCTGCAGGCTCACCGCAGATGGCGGAGGGAATCAGCCGTTCGGATGTGAAACCTTCTGTCATGTTCGGGGCTTCAACTTGTGGAACAATGACATGCTCGGGCTCTGGTGTAGAGACTCTGTGGTGTCGTCGCTTGCCATGAACACATGTTGGGCTGAAGGGCCTTCTTCTGTACATCCGGACGATCTTCCATCCCAGCCCTTTATCGCAACGGCTCAAGAATCCTGAACCCCGACCTTCCTTCGGATAAAAATCTCAGACCAGCAGGCTGCAGCGAATCTGAAATTCTGGAGCATTCCGGCCAACATCGAACAATCACGCGCCTGAACATGCTGCAAGGATCGCAGGGAAAAAAAAACTTGCTGCGGTAGCCTGAAAGAGCACCCAAGGCCACTCTCCACTGGGATGATTCCTGCGGACATGGCTTCGTTGCATTTTCCTAAGGATGGCATCATACCAGGTCGAGCAGCTGAGGACACTGAGGACACTGCTTACTTCAACAGGTGTGCCACTCCTCCCGGAATTAGTTGCTTGAGCTTGATCTCCTACTCAACGATGCTTCCCGACAGACCTTGCCTTGCCCACGTCCGCGACTGTTGCCCAAGACGTTTCATCAGGCTCCTTAGATACTTGCAGCGCCTTTTCACGAATACGAGATGTTTCACGGCACGTAACTGCCAGAGAATTTGTGGATGGCGGCTACAAAAGTTTGAGCCTGCAACTCACTTGTTGAAGCCGAACTTGTTGCCGTAACAGTGCATTAGCAGTAGCAAGCTGACAGTGATTAGAGCAGAATTGGCATGCACTTGTCAAAGAGGTATCCTTCTGCGGATAGGGCCTCATGCACGATACGATTCCTGCACCACCAGGAAAGGAAGCGCACACACACACACACCATCATCATCAAAGCCCGAAGCTCCTCCAAGTGCTTTAACTTGTAATTATATACCTAAAACCGCCCCGAGCCTTCAAAAGCACTAACCCTATATTATGAGCCCCAAAAACCCTAAACTCCTGGACTTTATACACGCACGGCATGCATCATCGGCATGAACATGTGAACAGCATTGAAAGGCTGCGACCACCTACACCCAGTTCTGGGAAATGCTCCTCTCAACTACAACTACCTTGCTCTGAAACAGCATAGTCATTATGTGTCCAGTCTGCGTCGCTACCAAAAGTGCGCGCAGACCGTGCCATGCCCCCAACTTTCGTCTACCCAGCCAATGCAAACTCTCACATCCGGGTGGCCATCTGATTCCAAGCCATCGTAGCCTTAAGTGGCTTGCGATTACATGGCCGACTGGAAATTCAGGGCCTGTGGTTTGTGATCTCATAGCAGCAGCCTACATGCAATAGAGTTCCTGCATCAAAGGATGTTGCAAAGCCAACAGAGGCCAGTCCAGAAATGAAAGTGTCAGACCGTGTGCGCACCAAGAGTCAAGAGAAGGTAGCAACAAATATCACGTGACAGCGGCTCGGAAACCGAGCACAAATGAAGTAGCTTGCACTCCAAACCACATGCACCTCAACAATAATGCCTGCATTTCCCTCTTTTGCAATGATTAATGTGATCCATTCCGATGCCGAAGCTAAGTGTAGACTTTCGGCTGTCGCAGACCGGAAGCCAGGAATTCGCAAGCCAAGCGCCATTGCTCCGCCTTGGCCAAGAGGCTCAGAAGCATGTTGCCTTGGCAGTGCATCTACATATGGGGGCTCCTTCTGAAAGCTGGATGCCTCATACTAGGGCCGTGTCATCAAGATGTTAGAGCGGAAATCCTGCGAAGCCTGGAAGGCCTTCACAGAGGGAATTCAGCTGCACTAGTACAGGTAAGTACGAAACTTGCATGGCTGCTACTCAGAGTCTTAGCGCCAAATGACTTAACAAACAACGCCCCACAAGCCGCAACATGCTTTTCACCGAGGTATTGCGGCCATGCAGCAGAACAATAGGTCTGCCTGGATTGTCTGAGTGGCCATCCTGCATTTCTCAGATGACTACAAAGAAACTTACCACGCAGTCCGAATCTAGGAAACATGTCCAGACAATCATGGGAGTGGGTATCGGAAAGAATAGGTTGAACTTGTCCCTGTTCAAAAACGCAAGTTCTTCAACATGTTATGTATATAGATGTTATATTACAATATATAAGTATATACACATACACACACAAACACGTCATGTACGTGTTCCCTTAACTATTTGTGCGATCATTTATGAGCCTATTCCTATTCAGTCATGTGTTTTATCCATAGGTTCCATTATTATCATCTACAAAAGATTAATGTATTATCTATAGTTGTTTTTATGCGTGGTATTACTACTTGTCTGCATATACATCTGCACTTAAATCCGTATGTACATACATACACATAGCACGGCCTCAACCAACAAAGCCGGACGACAACTTCCGAATACTTCAACCCAGTGTCTGCAACAAACCCGACGACATGAACCCACTCCTTGTGATAGCACCACTAAATCTCGGAAATCTTCAGTCTGCGAAGCCGAAGCAGCAACAGCACCAACGCCACTTGGAAAGGTCTGGAAATTACAATCCCTTCAGAGTAGGACAATGGTCAGAAGACTTTGACCTCGAGGACGGCTCAGTCCTGATATGCAATTCTGGAGACTGAATCTTTAAACATGAAAGCTTCAATACATACTCAAGACCTAGATGGACCAGAAGACCGGAAGCATCAGCATGAAGCGCGCCGATCAGCCCAGGCCCCTGACCTCTCCATGAGCGCGAGAGCGCAGGACCAAGCGCAACTCCAGCGACCTCAGCAGAAAGGGTGCGATTTGGCCCTCTAGGCCCTCTACCCGTTCGAAATCCCCTTGAAGTTCGAACGGGCAGAGGGCGTAGAGGGCCGAAGTTCATTGGAGTTTGAGGTTTCGGTTTACATTCGCTAAAGGTCTCCAGATTCAGGGTCTTTCGGGTGCATGATGCGGACTTCGAGCTTGCGCGTTTCGTGGTCACTCTGAGTCACAGGCAGGCTCGAACGACAGAGGCGTAGCTGACAATGTTCGGCATAATATTCCTGAGGAGCTCGGGGTTTAGGGTACAAGATTCCTGCCGAAAATTGACGGTCGAAATGTCGAAAGAGTTCAGATCCATCTTATACCGGGGCGCGCCGAGCTCATTTTCGACTGGAGCATGAATGATTAATCTCACATTGACTTGCCATATCGGCAAGAGGCTTCCCTTGTTCAAGGTCAGCCACCCGCATCACGAACACTGGCTTTGGATTGCGTTCCATGGCCTTCCGCTTTGTCTGTGTAGACAGCCGGGTCTCCACGGGATACAAGCTTGAATTGAGGCTTTGATGGCTGTTCGAGGGGATCCGAATTAAAGCCAAGAACTGAACTCTGATTATAGTCCGGGACGGCTAAATCAGCGAAATCATTCCTCTGCACTGAGCCTCCCAACTTCGACTCGCTGCTGCTACTTGTGCTCAAAAGCTAAGATCGTTGCCGCAATGTGTTTTGACTGGACCTGAGGCTGAGGCTCTAGACGGTTTCAAGGCGAAAGCCTTGGTCGCTTGCCTAATGCTGCTCCGGGACTGCCGATCCTCACAGCCGAGGGGCTGAACTAACTTTACGGCTCTGTGACTTTGTGTGTAAAGTGATTGTATGTAGGTAGGTGGGTGGGTAGGTAGGTAGATAGGTAGGTAAGTAGGTAGGTAGGTACACATGTATTTATGGATTTATGTATGTAGGCGGGCAGGCAATAGTTGCACTGTGTCTTTCTTTGCCTGACGGTTGCTTGGCAATCCAATTCTGCGAGGCCAGCACGAACAGACCTCGTTTGAAATCCGAAACTCATAATCACATGTGCCGTCCGGGCAGTTGTACCAATTCTTTAGCCGACAAGCCCAAACCCCACGAACCATGAAGCCGTTCCACCAAGAGTCCACACAGACATGCCGTCCAACAGGGCAATGGACCATTGCCACTCGCTGCAGCTTTCGCCTGAGTGTCGAATCCCAATCTAGCGATGGTTGCGGAGGCGTTTGTGGTGGCTAGCATTGTTAAGCTTGCTATTTGCCATTAACATCTTTAGCTACGACAGGCCTGCATCAGCGTGAGCATGCTGCTGTGCGATTCTTTGAAGACCTCGTCTTAGGGGAGCAGCTGTTCAGAGCTGGAAACGTTCTGCAATCTGGCGGAGTTGGTCGAGGGGCTTTGGGTTGAAGTTCGTGGTGCAGCCTTGCAGCTTGAGGTTCGGGCTGTAGGATTGCAACGGTGTCAGCGGAGTCTGCACCGAGAGTACACCATAACAACATAATTCCGTACAGTCTGGTGTATGTATGCACATACATACATACATACATACATACATACATATATATATATATTATACATAGATATACATACATACGCATACGTACCCGGAAATTACAGATATGTGTATGAACAAAGATATAGATATAGATTCAGTATGGATATAGATCTCGGTATAGGTTTGGGTATGTTTTGTACAGGAATAGCGATAGATGTAGACGAAGATGTAGATATGTACATAGACACGGAGGCTAGTGTACACTATGCAGTTCAATTTCTGCCATTCCGTCGAACCTAATGTTTGTGTGCATGCATCCTGCCACAAAGGCGATGCCTGACAACCTGACAGACTTGCAACTAAACATGTCACGGGGATGATGGTAGTAAGGAAACTGCAGCAGGCAACGATGTGATGTTGAGAGTGGGATTTAACGAAGCCCGTCCTGCCAACAATACTGATGGTTGTATTCTCCACTTTGCTCCATCGCACGGCGGGTATAAAGTGGCCTGGACCCGTACTTCAACATCGGACGAGCCGCATGCTCGGATTGCCGAAGTCCAGGTGATCTCATCTGACTGGACCTGCCCAAGGTAGTGCCCAGCCCACACAGTATTTCTGAATGTACGCTCCCAAAAATTGCGACGTGATCTAGGGTTTGCCCAACAACCATTCCACGTCGAGTTGACAACAAGTGGTGTGCAGGCTCATCTGTCAGAGCGATGTTCGGAGCTACTTGTAGCAACATCGGCAACAAGTGCAAGACATAGAGACTACTGCCAGCGAGAATCTCCCGGGAAGAGCACTTGCACAAAATTGCCCATAACCTGGCTTGGCTTGCCATCCGTTTTTTTTCGCCAGTGCCTTTGAGCCCTGCTTCCCGGAAGCCTCGAGCTGCGCCAGCTCGGAGAGAAAGCTGAGAGCTCGCTGCCACTGGCCAGAGGAACTGCAGGCGGTGGGCTTGGGCACCTAACTAAAAGCCTGCTAAAGGGGTTGGCATTTTGAGGTCTCCGGGGTCTTATCTACGAGTGTTTGTCAAGGGTAGTTGTCAGAGGAAGTCAGGTTTAGGCAGTTTAGGTGCCGCAAACCATAACAGTCGCAAGATGGATGCGTGGTGCTCCTTTCAGGACTCCTTGTCTTTGCTGTGTCCGATGACAAGGGCAGCTGTGAAATCCTTTCAATGACCGACTGTTGCAGGTCCGGCTCAGATCTGTCTGCAGTCATCCTCTCATCCCCACGCTCGTAAGGCCCACATGGTTCAGAGAGTTGCGCAATCATTTTGCTAGTCCCCGGTCCTGGCCATGGCATCCACCAAGGAATTACATGTGACCTCGGCTTCTTCAGGAGGAAACGACAGAAGCAGAGAGAGAGAGAGAGAGACAGAGAGAGAGAGAGAGAGAGGGAAAGAAAGAGCGTGAGCGCTGGAGCTACAAAAACAGGGACACCGACGGAACAAGGGAGAGATACACAACAACATGCCAGAAGCAAACGTAGCGCATGCACAGGCCTGCACGTAGTCAAAAACATTGCGGGCAAAAGCCAACAACCCCCTTTCTTGCAACATCCGAAGAATTGGTGGACAATCCTTTGGAGCAGGGTTTCACTATCTCCGCCTTTCAAGCAGGCCATAGCTCGCTTAGGTGGCACAGTGGCACCGACACGGAACCCAAGAAGTCCAAGCGCAGATCTTCACTCCGCATGATCGCGGGGTGCTATATTAGGGCTAGGAGCAGCTGCAGCGGGACGTGACGGCAGGTCTGTGATGCTCGGCTGGAGAAGTCGGAATCCCAACAAATTGTCATGAGACTCCCATCCCGGCCCGCTGAAATCGTGGATCCGAAAACCTGAGCGTGAGCCATAATCCCGCAACTACACACCCCGGCCAAAGCTTAAGCCAATCGAAAGTCCTGAAACTAGGCACTGAACGCGTGTCTCAGGCCGAGCACGGTGTTCGGCCGCACCGCAGCTGCCACCGTGGCTTGAAATGTTGCCAACGCTGCCTGGAGGGTCCCGAGCTTTCACAGCCGACGGGCCGTCGGCCTCTTCCGCTAGCAGAAGAAAAATAGAAGTAGCGGCAGCAGCATCATGATCAACAGCAGCAGTCGTCGACGCGGTCCATGCCGTCGTCGCAGCAACGGCAGTGGGTGCGGTGCTAGTGTTAACAAGCACCGCTCGACCTCGTGAGCCTGATTTCCAGCAGACTTCCACACAGCAAGTTGGCTTCTGAGGCTAGGCCCTGCAAATCAGAAACCTAACGAATCTAGGCGCGGCCTCTGTGGCCAGCTTCTAGTCCTAGTAGTTCTTATGAGGCGCCAGCCGCCCCTCTGCCTACCCTTGCTTCTGTGCACAAGACAGCCTAGACCTTAGGCCTTCAACCCTTGTCCACAGCATTGTCACAGGTGCGAATTCTCTGACAATCTAACGCGGGCCTGCCACTGCGCAGCTTTCGCACAGGCCCCAATAACGGAAGTGTAGGCAAACCTTCGTTGGATCGGAAAGTCAGGGATCCCGACTTCGGGCTTGAACTCAAACGAATATGAAACCAATCTGACTCCGGCCTGAGGGCAGTTTCGAAACCTGAACTGCCGAAAAGTCCCGCCGGAGGGATTTTAGGGTTTGCCTCTGTTACTGAAGCCGTGGCTGCCTCGTGGCTACACCATCGTGCATAAGTGATAGCTACTTGCGTCCGACCGGCAACTGCAGCGACTCCTCGAATTGCCAAAAACTCTGAGCCATCCTCTTACATATATATATATACACACATACATATACACTCTTAACACCCAGCAGCTCATAGCGACATAAGGCAAGGTCCTATAGCGACAGCCTGATGATGCAACGGTGATCAATGTACGTCTGTACTACAGATATGTGTATATATGCATACATACGTACATTCATACATTCATACATGCATGCGTCCATCCATCCATCCATCCATCCATCCATCCATCCATGCAGGCATGCATGAACGCACATACATACATACATACATACATACATACATACATACATACAACTACATACCATCACAAACCGTCATTGGCGTTCTCCTCATTCTCGTCGCCCTCCCGAAGGAAGACCTCCTTGTGGCGACCTGGCACCGTTCCTTTCAAAACGATGCTTCTTGAGGAGCATAATATAAAGCCGAGGATCTTCTCCGGCAGCTTGACCTCCTGCTCCTCCAGCTTCCTGGTCGCGTGGAAGAACCGCTCTCGGAACTGCTGGTAAGTCTCGCCTCGACCTGCTTCACGTTCAACTCATAGAAGAACTCACGCAAGGCCACGGTCACCACCTTCGGAACACAGCTTCTCCACGGCAATGACCATAGACAAGCTCGGCCTCACCCTGACGTGCTGCATGAGTGTCGGGCCAAGCTTTTCCTTCAGGCTCGTTGTCGGAAGCGCCGCCAGCATCAACATTGCTTGCCGCTTCCACTTTCTTAAAAGCCCCAGCGCCGCTTCCCTCAAAGGACTCCAGCAGGACCGTTATCATCTCCAGCAGACATGGCGACAGCACCCACCGGCAAGGCCGCAAGTGCTCCGCTACCACTGTGGGCATCAGCTCACAGTGGTCATCTTTTCTGCTGCAGCTTAAGCCCCGTGCTTCGACGTCGGATCATCACAAGTGGGCTCAATGCTGGCACGAAGATTCTCACACATTACTTTACATTGATATATGGCCCCCCCTCCCCCGACGCTCCGAATGGTTCCCCCGCCTGCCACTTACCTCAAGCGGGTGAACCCTGAAGCCTCAACCTTCCACAGTCCACAAAGGGAGGGGGCAATGACCACACGCAGGGCGCAGCTTACCACCCAACCACTGTACGAGGGCAGGAGGAGGAACTAAACTCCGAAGCTCACGCCCCAAGCCGTTCCACATGGGAAGAGCGACCATTCACATTTGGGGAGGGTTGGGGAGGGTGGGACCGCCCGGGGCGCAACTAAATAATCAAATAAAAGAACAAACAACAACGACGACGACGACAACA